ATTTTTTTTTACGGGTCGCGGGTTAACCGCGGCCCGTGGGGGTGCAACCCGCGAAGCCCGCGGGTTACACCTCCTTGGCCCGTGAACCGTCCGCACGGGTCACGGGTCGGCCCGCGATTCCGGTTTTCACGGGTCATGGCCGGCCCGTCCGTCTTGACACCTCTAGGTGGTGGCAGTGTCGGGTTAGGTTGGTGGCATTGCGGGTTGCTGGCGCTTTAGGTGTCGTGGTTGCGGCTCTTGTTTTCCGACGACACTACCATGGATGTGGTGGATGAATAGTGAAGTTTATTGTTTCAATTGCATTTTTTTTTTAATTTGGGCTAGATCTTCGTGGTGCTGCTACCGTGGCTGTGGATGTGGTTTTGTTGGTGGCAGCGCCGACGGTGGTGGTAGTGGTGGAGGCGATGGGTCTGTCGAGGTGGTAGTGGTTCGTCGGCGAAGGTGGTTGTGCGGTGGTGGTCACAAGTGTTGATTGTGGTCACAAATTTTTTGGATGATTGTGACCATTAAATTGGTTACTCTGTAACCAATAAACAATATGTAACCAATAAAAAAGATAAATTGTAATCAAGAAATAATGTGTGACCTAAATTTTTTTAAATTTGTGACCAATAATTTGACAATTTGAGACTATCTACTAAGTTGTGACTTATAATATTTGTGATTTATGATCGATAAATAAATTGTGACGTATAAATTTTTGATTTGTAACCGATGAACAAATTGTGACCTATAAAATTTCTGAATTGTGACCGTCAAATAATTTGCGACATATAAAAATTTTGATTCGTGACCAAATTATATAGATTTGATTAATAAAATAAATAAATAATTAATAAAATCATAAATAAATTTTAATTAGTATATGATTTTTGAAATTTAAGCATTTGTTCTTAATTTTGAAATAGGATTAAAAAGCCCAATCCATTATATATCATTTAGGTCACATATGGCTCTTCGTAATTCTAATCGTGGCTGCACAAGTGTGAAAATGAGAGAGGGGCTGCTTCATGTGGTAAAACATAAAGGCTGCCATATACAAGAGAAAAACTTGGCTTCAACTTTGTGGGGACATTGAAGAGAAGAAGCAAGTGTTTTTCTTCCTTCTTGAAGTGTGGATTTCACACGGGTTTGCTCTTCATTCAAGAACAAATTGAGGATTTTTCTAAGAGGTTACTTTGGTGCTCCAAGGAGTTGTATGATTTGGAGTGGGATCTCATAAGTTCAAATTTATGGTTTTGGGGTTTAGATTATTGTTTTCTCTAAGGTTGATTATTGTTGTATTTCCCAATTTGTTGATAACTGCATAAACTTGATCGTTGTAATCTCACTTTATTATAGTGGATTTGGCTGGAGTTGCGCTCTATAATTTTTTTCCCCCTACACTAGAGGGTTTTTTCCACATAAAAATTTAGTGTTGTTTTCTCTTGTTTTGCTTTGATAGCATATTTAATCACTTTAGTTAGTTGCTTGAATTGTTGAATTTATTCTTGCAAGAAGTAGTAACTGCCCAACATTTTATTGCCCACTAGTCCTCACTATTGAAATATAATCGTCTCTCAAGATACAACGATATCTTCTTACAATAATAGCAGCACTTCAAATAAAATAAAATAAAAAAGAATAGAAATATACTTTATACTCTTTTGTGAAAATAGGGACTAAACGCAACAAAAAAAATAAAAAATCGGGAAGGAACGTGTGACCTATATATAATAAATCAAAAGTTGTGTGCAAAGTTCCATCACTCTCTTTTATAAGCTTCTCTTTCAACACATTTACTTAAAGACTCTGGTATGGGATCTTTTCCATGCCTTCACTGTTGAAATTTTGGGGCTTTTGCTAAGGTTTCATTTGTTTCGGTATCTAAAAAGTATTACTCTTATTAGAGAATGAAAATCTATAAATAATGTAATTTGTATCATTCTATTCAAGTTTTCTCTATCAATTTATAATTATAAATATAAATTAGTAGTTTAATTTAGTGCGTGTCTGGTTGCACTTAAAATTGCAATCTCAACCGTTGCCAAGTAAAAAATTTGGACCATTGCTTTTCACAATTTTCCAATGAAGACTGACATAGCAGCCGCAATATTGGACCATTTTATGACAGAATGACCTTTTTGCCCTTAATATTTAATTAAAGTAAAATTTTGACTATTGCTTTTCACCGTTTTCCAATGAGAACTGACATGGTAGCTGTAATATTGGACCATTGTATGATAGAATGACGTTTTTGCACTTAATATTTAATTCATTTTGCATGACATATGGGCTTCTTCGGTTGTTCATTTTTACAATGTCGGGTTTTGCCGCCAAAGTGGACTCCATTCCACGGTAAAAAAAAAAAAGGGTCAATTAATTGCTGAAAATTAGAAGAAAGCGCTTCCAGACATGCCCTTAATGATTAATAATATATAATTTAATTAATACTTAACGTATAAAAAAAGAATTATAAATGGAGATAGGGGAGTTCCCTGCCCCGCAACTATTCCAACTCTGAATAAGTAGAGATGAAGAGGAGAAATCCTCGACAAGATAAAGATGGAGAATGAAATTCCCATCCTGAATTCACCCCTTGTCATTTTTAAATGGAATTGAATAACATTATTCCCCATAAAAAGTTTGTTCACATTAATTGAAAAGAAAAACTCGTTGATTTGATTCATTTAGTACTTGTTTGCTTCCATTTTGGAAGAAGAAATAGAGTTTTGAATAGTATTTTTAGGAGAATGTATTTTTGAAAAGTAAAGTAATTTTATTGATTTGTGTGTAGAATATTTTATTGAGTAAATATGTGGTGAATATTGTTTACTGTAGCAAACAATATTTGATAAAACGGATAACAAATTGGGCTTAATTAATAAGTCAACATTTGAGCACCTTAAAGTTTCATAGACATGCTACAGGTACGGGAATTCAAATTCATGTACTTGCCAGAACACACACAAGCCACAACACGGGTGGGTGAGTGGGGGGTGTTTTGCCAATATTTTAATTCATATGAGGTCCACCCTATGAGAGTGAAATTCAAAAATGTGGATTAATTTTATTATTTTTTATATGTACTCACAACAATTTTCAAAGTTTCACGTTTAATGTCAAATCGATATGCAAAAGTTAAATCAATTGGGACATGACAGGTACTCATAACAAATTATTAGCATCACATCAACCACTATTAAATGAATAATTCATAATCTATCTTAAGTTTTTAATTCAATGAAACATTGATTAGTCATGATGATTGAGTAGATAATTAATGAAATAATTAACGTTTATTGCCAGTTATTATTGCCCTACTAACTTAGGAAAAACCCACTTGTACAATCATTAGATGATTGTAAATTTTACAACATCTCACATTAGTGTGGAAACCACAAATTAATTAAATTGTGGGTCCCACACTAACGTGAGAGGTTGTAAGATTTTACAATCATCTAATGATTGTACACCAAGCACATTTCACTAAATACCATTTTTACAAAATTCGTTTTTTCTCAAATGTATTTTCAACCACGTTCTCGTAATAAAATATTCTATACATGAAATTAAACTTTTTCCTACTTTTTAACTACACATTCTTCAAAAAAATCGTTATTCCAAAAGTTAGAGTACGTTTGTTTTGTTATTTTAAGTTTTCAATTTTACAAAACACAGAAAACGTGTTTAGTTCTATATTTCTGAAAATGCAATTTCAAAACGAGATTAAATTTATAATAGAAAACCCAAAATGCATTTTTTATATTTTCAGTGAAAATTCTGAAAACACTCAAAACAAGTATTTAAATAAGATTTTTAAAAAATTAAAAATATAAAAATAAAAATTCAAAAGAATAACATTTTAAATTTTAAAAAATAAAAATATAACAATTTCTAGTAGCAACTCCTTTTTGTCTAATAGGCCCATACATAAGTCCAAAGCAAACCAAAATCCAATGGGAAAATTTCATTTCTAAGATGTTAAATATGTGTCATTTCAAAAATAAGAAAACAAATTTCAAAAATCAGATTTTTTAAAAATTTTTATTTATGAATTAATAAATTATTAAATAAATTTATTTAATACTTAATTTTAATATAATATAATTAATCCATCACACCTACACCACCCCTACTACTCCGGGGACTATTCGGGCGATCGTTCCGGCCACCACTCTTCTCCGGCAACTGTTCAGGCGACTTTTCCAGTGACTTTTCCGATGGCTATTTCAGCAACCATTCCAGCGACAACTCCGATTCCGACGACTATTTCGGTGACCATCACAGATTTATATAATATGATCACAGATTCACAATTTAGTTAGTCACATATTATTTTTCGATCACAAATCATAATTTTTTACACCACAAATTATTTTACGATCACAGCTCAAGAATTTTATAGGTCATAATTTGTTTATCGGTCACAGATCAAAAATCTTGAACGTCACAAATTATTTTACGGTCAATGCTCAAAAATTTTATAGGTCACAAT